GAATATAATAAATCTTTATACTGATGAACTAATCAAATCTCAAAAATTGATCAGCGTGAACAATTGTTCACGCGCACATGACCTACCGCCTGAATCGAATAAGTCTGGATTATAAAATCGGAAAAGAGTTAGCAAAGTACATGAAGGAGGATCTTGCTCAACTTCGCCAAGAAGTAATGCGCAATTTCCTGAAAGAAGATGAAGTTTATGATCCAAAGAAGCATTACTTTAAAGAATGGATCCAAATTACATTGAGACATCTGTGCAACCTTTATGAAAATCCATCTGCTCCTTTGTGCCGGGAACAGTACAAGGACTGGTTTACAGTCAACCTGTTTGGAAATTGCTTCAATTTCTTGATGAGACACCCAAAAATGTCTACGGATATCAAAAGGACAGATGCACCATCAACTGCCTCAGCAAATAGGAAAAATCGAGCTAGAAAGCCAAAACAAAGAAAATTGACCGGTAGAAAGATTAATGGAATTATTCATCATCCAACTTATAATATAGAGTTGGGTGCACTTGAAGCAGCAAGATCCTTCGTAAATGATGGAGATAGAAAACTTCTTATTGAGTCTTTTAAAATGCTGAAGACTTTGAAAGACATTTTGGTTGATATGATAAGATCAAAATGATGCAGTGATGAGGAAGTGAATAAGTTGGTAGCCATTGGTGTTCTGCATTTTCGCTATAATATTCAGTTTGTAAGGTTATGGTTGGCTGGAGGGTCTATATGTATCTTTTCGAAAGATGATATTCATTCTATCTCTGATCACTTTTCTAAAACGAGCCATTTAGATTTTCTTAAATTCCTAAAAGCAATTGTGCGAAGTCAGGTAACTAACTTCTTTTTATAAATACACTTATTAGATTCTTTTGACTTTTAAAAATTCACAAATGACTTTTTTTAGATTATAATTGAAAACAATTTAAAGGCACTTGGATTCATCGAACAGAAGACCCCAAAGAAAGATGATTTTAATGAGGAGGATCTTATTTCAAAAATCTTAGGCAATGACCAGGACCCTTCGCGACCAACAACTCCTGAAAACAAAATTTATTCTATTGTAGATTGCTTCGAAACACCACATAAAAGGAAAATAAGCCAAATAAAAACACCAAGAAAAATGACAGATAAAAAGAGAAGAACCAAATAAAATGGTTATAACATATATAATAAATGGATTAGTTTTTCTCTTATCTAGCTTACCTCTTTTTAGCATATGTATGCAGTGTACATTGTATGCAATATCAATAACATAATTTGGGCATGTATTTTTTACATATGTACGGATGAGGGGTGTGTAATGTATTGGAATATTGGAATAAATAATAAGTTTTTGATCGTTGCTATCAAAAAAAATAAAGGTTGTGAATGAGGCTCGTTGATGATGTATTTTTTTCTAGCTCAACTTCCTGGCCCAAAACCACAAAAAATGAATCGCACAAACGTAATTAAAGTTTTGAGTTTATTCAATGAGACCCAATTTTCAAAGATGCTCTGGAATAACTACATATGGGTCTTCATAATACCAAACATACCTTAGGGCAATGCAGTTTTCTTCGCATAATTCTGATCTCATTTCTGCTGTTTGATAAAGTTATTGGGATCGTCTTGATGAAAGAATTCATGATATTTTTCATGTTGTATACCTTGTACTTCGATTGCAAAGTCATACTGTGGATAAAATATCAAGCTCTAGTCCATTCAAATGTTCTTGTGTTTTTAAGAATTCAGGCCTGCGGGTTAGTGAAGGAGAGCCAAGATATTCTGTTAAAATTTCACAACATAATTTTTCTCTTTTATATTTAGGGCAGAATGGACACCAGGTACTTCGATCTTTAATCGCACTAAGTGTCGCATGCCATATATGTCCTTTAGCACATTTTCATAATAGATATGAATAGTTATTAAAATATGAGGTAGATAGACACTCACCATTTCGGCTAAATGCAATTTGCTTGGCTTGATCAATATCACAAGCATACCGTCCAGAACAATGAGGACACCATGAATTTGCATTCTTAATGCTATTAAGTGTTGCATTCCATTCATGCCCTTTAGAACAATACCACAATAAAGCTGTCGTGATATTAATATGTTTTTCAGAAAGACATTTCCCATTTCTACTACTGTATGTGCAATTTTTCTAGCATTTTCAAGAGTATGTTTAGATACACTATGATCTGCACAATATGGACACCAAGTATTATGATTTTTTACGCTATGGAGACAGGCATTCTATTCATGGCCTTTATCACAACGCAAATTACTATTGATATATTTTTCAGAAAGACATTCCCCACTTTTTTCATGTGCAATATTTCTGGCAATATCAATTGTGCAAGGCAATTTTTTCCATGTATAATGTTATTATAAGTTGCTGACCACTCATGCCCATTAGAGCATTTCCATTGTAATATTTCTTTGGTAGCTTTACATTGGTTGGAAAGGCATAGTCCGCCTCTTTCTTTGGCAATCCTTTTAGCAATTTCAAGACGAAATGGATGATGGTCTACACAAGTGGGACACCATGAATTTCGATTTTTTATACTATAAAGTGTTGCATTCCACTCATGGCCTTTAGAGCAACGCCATTTTAAAGGAATTTTGTTATTAATATAATTATCAGAAAGACAAAATCCACCACGCTCTTTAGCAATTGTGCAAGCAATATTCAAGGATAATTTAATCGCATTAAGAGTTAATAGGTTTTACATATATGAATTTCTATTCAAAATCTGTATAAATTTGAATCATGATATTATCTAGTATAGGTTGATAAAGAATCGATATAACACACTGAAATTGCTATAATTC